GATGTTTTCCTCCTCTTAAAGTAAATGTGAAAAGAGGTGAAAAAGGGTCTCTCTTCTCACTAGATGTTGGCTATCTGAGCCTGGGTGGTTTCCCATGTTAGTTGGCTCAGTTCTCTGTTTACTCAGGACTTCTGGGTCCAAGAAGCTTTCAGAGCACAACCAGCGATATGGACAGGGAGCGTGAGATAGGTCTCCATCCCTTCCCGTTGTGTCTGCAGCGGAGCACAGTGCAGAAAAACTTGGTGCAGTTCCTCGGCCGTAACTGGGACTCACTCTGTGGTCCACCCGTTTAACCACACTGTGAGGGCAAAAATTTTGTGACCACCTCCTGTTTGTTCATTTTCCTTCTCCAGGTGAAGCCCTGGGCTCAGTCGTTGAGACACGGGCTCAGGTCTCACCCTGCCGTTGATGCAATGTCTATCCTTGGTGCATCTTCTCTGCTGCAGATTCCCTCGTAAGGAGTGGAGATAAAGTCCTTCTCTTTGGAGAAACCTAGAGATAGGTTTTCTAATCTTCCCAGCTGACTTAGGCTCCCAAGTCCTCTCCTCAAAGCTGATAAAGAGGCTTGGGGTTCTTAGACGTGTTGGTGAACATGCTGGTTAAGTCGCCCAGCTCTGCTGAGTGCTGGGAGGCTGAGGATTAGAGGCAGCACAGGAGTGCAGAGCAGTTACTTCCAGGTGACATTTCCACCCATGGCCTCTAATCAGCGTGTCTCAAATCCCAAGAGGGCTGTGATTAGATAAAACCCATATTACCCTGGTTCTACACAAGCTCGTTTTATGGTTTATCTTCATGGTTGCAAGGCCATCAAGTGGTACTCCTGTACAGGGGCAGAAGGGCTGTCCTCTTCCTGCTGACCTCCTTTCCTGGTCTGTCTCTCTCATTCCCTGCAGGTGAGCGCTGGACTTTCTCTTCCCATGAAAGAGGGAGGAAAAATCCACTTTGATTTCTGGTTCTTGGGGGGAAAATATTCCATTTGGTTTCCAAAATCCTCTCTGGAGGACTTTCCGTACTGCCTTGTGGGGCTAGTGGGAGTCTTGGAGGTTTCCAAAATCCTCTCTGGAGGACTTTCCATACTGCCTTGTGGGGGTAGCGGGAGTCTCGGAGGTAATAGTTTTAAATTGAAAGAAGGGAGATTTAGATGAGATTTCAAGAAGAACTTGTTTGGTGTGAGGGTGGTGAGAGCCTGGCCCAGGTTGCCCAGAGAAGCTGTGGCTGCCCCATCCCTGGAGGGGTTCAAGGCCAGGTTGGAGGGGGCTTGGAGCAACCTGGGCTGGTGGGAGGTGTCCCTGCCCAGGGCAGGGGGTGGGACTGGATGGTCTTTAAGGTCCCTTCCAACCCAAACCATTCTGTGATTCTCATGCAGGATGTGGGGACATGCATGGGAGAGCAGGGGGGTGGTGGGGCTGCGTTGTGGTGGTGGTGACAGCCCGTGATCAGTATGCCTGGGGCTTCCTCTCCCCCCCCTGACGGGTGTTATTGCCTGGCCTGGCTTCATAACATCACAGTTCTACTGATAAAGTCTTTCATTTTCAGCTTTAATATTAAAGAAAACTGGCCTGATTTGGCTTCCTTTCAACTGAAGTGCTTTGTAGAAGGCAGGAGAGAGGAGGCAAAAGCAGCGATTTGGGGGGAAAAAAAGTAAAAAATAAAAAGCACCCCCCAAGTATCCCTCCCCATCCTCTGCGTGAGCTGGAGCGTTGCCTTTTGCAGGTGCATGGGCTGAGCAAAGGGCTCTCCTTTGCCTTTCTGGCCAGCGAGTAGCAATGTACTCTGAATGCAGAACCTGTCTCTCTGAGGGTGGTGAGACATCCAGAAGCTGCTCTGCCAACTCATTTGCAAAACAGATTTGGTTTTGCTGCTGCTGCAGAGTCAGGGGGAGCTGGACCGTGGGGGCTCCCGACCCGGTGCCTTCAACCACTGTCCTGGTTCTCTGTGTGGGAGCTCTGGATGAATGGCACGTGGACATAAAGGGATGAATTTAGAGTAAAAGGGTACGTGTTTACCAGGTGCAAGTGATATTCCAAAGCTGTGGATAGGGTCTGAGTTGCAGAGAGGAAAGGATGGGTGCTGTGACACAAACACGGTGCCGTTGAGGTTGCACCCCAGGATCTGTGAGTTTACTGGGAAACTAATGAAAATTCATCCCTGCCTCTTCCCAGCTTTGAAGCTGAGAGAGCCGAGAGGGGGGTATGGCTTCATCTAACGCTGGACTGGAATTCAAAAAACTGGCATTCACTCTTGTGCTCTCCTGACTCAGTAAATTTGGGGCAGATTGTTAGATCTTTGTACCTCCATACTGGTTACTGCTGAAAATGACTCCCTTTTCCTTGCTCACTGTGTGTCTTGTTGATTTAGTCCCTACACTTCTGGGGGCAGAGGAAGTCTCTGACACATCCCAGGACTTTGCCTTAAACAAAGGGAAAAAAAAAAAGTGGAAAATTTTCATTCTGTGATCTCATTGACTGCGATAAAAACTGCCTGGGGGGCAGCCCAAATATAAACTCGGTGTGTGGGATCTGGTGCTTTGGTAGAGTGTGAACCTGAGATGCTGGAAGGAGAATGCTGCAGATCACCCTAGAGATTAATGCACTCATGTGGGGTCTCTCTGGAGAGTTCAAACCTCCACTGAAGGACGTTGGGACCTTTCCTGGTGGCGCGGCAGCGATGGCAGCTGCCAGCTCGGTGGTGTGTGTGGCGAGAAGGGGGTGTTTGGAGGAGCGGTGGGGCCATGGGTCTCGATGGAGTTGGTGCCATTTCAGAGTTCCTGCACTATCTTGGTCTTCCCCTGTGGAAGTTGAGCTGGTGGGGAGGGAGATGGGACTCACAGCCCGTCCTGGTGACGTGTTGGGAACAGCAGGGCACGGAGCGAGGCAGAGCTGCTGGCAGATGGGTGCCGGGGGGTGGGAGTGACGGGAGGGTAATGAGGTGCCTTGGCAGAGCTGTGAAATCAAGGAATCTTCGCTGCTCATATTCCTACTGCTGTCACACGTAACCGGTGCTTCTGTCACCACTTCTTCCATGGAGTCTCTTCTGCCTCAAGTAGATGAGAAACAAGCCCCGTTGGGTTTTGCTGCCTCCTGCCCGGGCTGGGAGGGGCGAGCGGAGCAACGGGACTTTGTTGTTTCAAAGCCACAAATCCCGGATGAGAACACTTCTGAGGAGGATATATGATCTTGGCCTCCGGCGCTGAGGGTTTGCAGCATCAGACTAACATTTCCAGGAAAATCGGCATGAAGAATGAAGAGTTCCGTGGGGAGGGAGCCCGTGACTCTCTCCGTGCTCTCTGGCCAGGTACTTCCTAGCGTTGGTGCTGCCTTGGCAAGCTGAGACTCTCTGCGGCTTTGGAGAAGTTATTTAAAGGGTAAACTGAGGCAGGAGGGGTGAAATGGTACCGAAAGGCCAACCCAGCACCTGGGATGTGAAGTGCTGGGGAAAGCAAAGCGCTGTCATTGCCTGACTCTCTCCTTTTCCATCTCCTTTCCAGTTGCCGTGGTTTTGTTGTATTTACTTGGCTTTTGGTCCTGGCTGGTGGCGAGCCTCCGAGCGCCGGTGGTGTTAACGGGCTGGGTGACAGGGTCATGGCAAGATAAGATGGGAGGCAGCTTGTGCTCTTTAAAAACCTTGAGATGCCAGTTGTAACTTTGCAGAGTTGCAGGATGGCTGGTTGGCTGAAGGCAGTCCCTGGCAGGCTCTGCCCTCGGCGCCGCGCAGCCTCTGCCAGCACAGCTCTGCTCCGCAGCTCCTGAGACACCCCCTGCCAAGGCAGGAAGGAACCTGGGCTCCTTCAGCTGAATTTAAAGTACCAGGGAGTGATTCGGAGCGTGAGGGACAGTCGCTTGGCTTAAAATGTCCCCCGGAACATAAATAATGTTGTTGTTCTTATAAATAGCACCGAGGGGGTTTGTAACCTTTCTTAACCAACACACTTCGGGCAAATTGCAGCAGCTTTGCATCGTGTGGGCTCAGGGGCAGATGCAACCTGCACTCGCTCAAATATGGTGCTTGTTTGTGAGATTTATTATATATATTTATTTTTTTTTTATTTTAAGATGCTGCATCTTTAACAAGCCCTTGATAGATGAGAATTTGATGCTTGCAGTGACAAACAGTCTCTTCCTTCCTGCCCATATGCAACATCATGCTTTCAGTTTCCCCAGCGTTATTATGGGAGGATATTGATTTTAAATCTGTTCGGGGACGCTGTAATTGTATATTAGATATTTTGTGTTGGTTTGTAGGGCTGCAGTAATGCAAAAGGCTTGAGTGTTTCCGTACAATCTAGAGGGGGAAGATTGCTAAGGACCTTGAGGTTTTGAAGGAGGAGGGGGGAGAAGAAGGGGGGGAGAGATTGAGAGAGAGAGAGAGAGAGAGAGAGAGAGAGATACCGTGGTAGGAAGATTCAGAGATCTGTTGTGCTTTTTTTGTGTGTGTGTTGTTTTTTTCCTCCCCTTTCTCTCCCCCAGTTGCTTTGCATCAGGGCATGAAAGGAGTGGAAACACCAGGGGGACAAAAGGCAACAGAACAAATGATGAAACTCAGTAAGGAAATCAACTGGATTCAGAATTTATAGCTTTAAAACGTTGCATTGATCAGTGTGTGAATAGTCATTATGTGCTTTTGGACTGCGTGATTAGGAAAGCAGATCAAGGCTCTCAAGACGATGATTTTTCTTACTTTCTTTTTTTTTTTTTCCCTCTGCTTGTAATGAAATCAACTGGATTCAGAATTTATAGCTTTAAAACGTTGCATTGATCAGTGTGTGAATAGTCATTATGTGCTTTTGGACTGCGTGATTAGGAAAGCAGATCAAGGCTCTCAAGACGATGATTTTTCTTACTTTCATTTTTTTTTTTTCCTCTGCTTGTAATATATGTGTGTGTGTGTCTGTGTGTGTGTGAGAGAGAGAGAGGAGCAAAATACCAAAGTCTCTCTGGTTGCTTCTGCAAAGGGGAAAGTACAACCTTATCTGATGCTCAGGTTTCTCATCTCTCTTCTAGATGAAATTTTAGGCAAGAGAAGAGTATGTTCTCCCAACAGCAGCAGTGAGTGTCCTTTAGAAAGCAAGAAAGCCAGAAGTGAGTCCCCAAAGGGTAAGTGCTGCTTCTCCCTCCCCCATCCCCTTCCCCTTTCTTCTCCTTTCTTAAGAGTGGAACTTAATTGAAATTAAGGAGGGCGGGCTGGGGGAGGCTGTGGTGTGGGGGGGTGCAGGAGGCTGCCAGGGCACTCTGCTTTCTTTATCTCCTCGCAGGGAAGCTCGCAGGGCGAGAAAGGGATTGCCGCTTAATTACAATAATTGTTTTATGATTCAAAAAGCAAGCTGCAGCTTTGGAGGTAGATTTTCGGGGTGTTTCTACTTTTCAGGCAGAATGTCTTGATTATATGTTTAATGTAAAAGGTACATATAGGCTTATCATGCTAGCATCTGTTCCTTTAAAGGGAAAAAAAAGAAGCCTAGGAGGGAGAATAGGGCTGTCTAGTTCTTTCTTATGCATTTATGGCATGTTCCTATAGAGATGGAATCTGTAGAAGGCTTCTCTTTTTAGGTATTAATTATTTTTTTTAATCTTCTGATTTCTCTTACGGTTCTTTCCTGTAAACATGATTTTTAAACTTTCTTTATAACTGGCAAAGTGCAGTGGGTAATGGAGCCTGCAGTTAATGAGTTTGTCTCAAGGTTGTGTAAATGAGGTTTTGCAGGCCGTTCACTTAAAGGCTTTGTTGTTAAGTTCAAACCAATTAGCTGTCAGTAATACCCATCTCGATCTCTGTGCTTAACCTGCACTCTTGGGCCACTAAAAAAAATGAAAAATAAAAGCAGATTGGCTGTCTGAAGCTGGGTCCTGTTTCATGGGTTTGGAGTCCAGCAGCTGAGACTCCTTAAGGTGTATATTCTCAGTAACCAATCCAGGGGGTCTCAAAGGGGACTTTTTGCAGCAGTTTGTCCTGAAGCCACCTTAAACTACGTACCTTATGTTATGTTATTTAAAGATATATTGCAGGGACCTGTACTGCATCCTAATTTCCCATAATGTTATTCTATATTGTCTCTTCTTGACTCCTTGTCCCCAAATTCTGATCTGACAGGCAGCATATTCTGAGAGGATGTTAAATGCTCATGTCACTTAATATAATATTACTAACACTACCTAAGAATATACTAAATCTTTTCTTTCACGTAACCCTTTCCTGCCTGTTAGCTCTTTAATACAAGTAAAACCACCGTAGCTTTTTACTGGGGTTTTCTGAAAGGTGTAAGGAGGGACCCTATATACTATTATTCTTTGGCTGTTTTCCTCCATTTTTTTTTTCATCTGCCCTATTCCTGTTATCATGGAAATGTTTCTTGTAGATGTGCAGGTAAGTTCCAGCAGGATGGAACTGTAGATTCTGAAATGCATTTGTTATACAGGGGTGTGAGACTCCTGTAACACACTCCCGCTGTCATCTTCGCTCTTTCTGCGGAGTCTGTATCCCTTGTAATTCCAAGGAACTGGAATTCCATGCTTAGGAACTGAATCCAGGTAACAGCACCCTTCGTGGCCTGGCTGAGAATGGGCTAAACTTTAACCACGCCATCTGAAACCAAACTATTGAGTTTGGATTTACCCTAATGAGGTGATTGAACTTACACAAGCTGATGTTTTTGCCATGGGAGCAGCAGGGTCAGACGATCCCATTCCGTTTCTTCCCTCTGGCCTTCCCACTTCCATGCCACGAGTGGGGTGAGTGCAGCGTGAGGCAGAGGAGCAGCCTGTGGCATTGCAGTGTGTGCTCAGGATCTAAATCCTGCTCCTTAACTCTGAATAACTCAGGGGTTCCCCAAACTCATTAAGAGAGGTGTTCCTAGGAAGCCCTGAATAAAAGCAAGCTTACGTTTTCTACTCCCCCTTTTTCCTCAGAAAGTCTTTCCTCCCCTTTATAAGAGCGTGGGATGGAATGGGATTTCTGAGCTGGGCCTTTTAGGGCCTCCCCTGTTACCTGTTTTTTATTATATTAGATCACTGGGGAACCCTTGTTCTCTCTCTCCAGCACTTGTGACAGGCTTTGCTGATGCCAGAATCCAGCAGAATAGTGAGGGGCTGAGCAGGGGCAGTGGTTTTTTTTTGGGGTCTTTATCTACCCCTGCCCTGCCATGAAAAGAGGGTCAAAGGAGGGGCTCTAGCCAGTGTTTCTGTGTCTGAAGCTCCAAAGGGAGCACCTTGAGGCTGAGAGCTCCCAGGAGACTTCCCATCTTGGTGGCAGACAGGCAGCATTCTGGTGGCAGGGGTGCTGTGGGGGGCCAAGAGGGAAACCAGCCCTGTGTTCCCAGCTCCATACTGAGGAGCTGGTTGGAAAGCGATGGATCTGTGTTACTCAACGAGCCGTTTTCAAACAGGAGGGACCCTGGTGGCTCCTTACCTGGAATTTGGGAACAACTGCTGTAGAGCAGTGCTGTCAAGTGTGAGGTTGCACTAGAGCCCCAAATTTGGCTGGGACCCGGGTGCTGTGAGTGCAGGTTGTGTGTTAGGAGTGGGAAGGAGAGGAAACAAGGACCACCAGCTGGAGTTTTGTAGCCCATATGGCCCCACGCTCCAGGTCCTTCTTCTCCATCCAGTGGTGTGCCTTGTGTAGGTGCTGGTTCTCTGCCCTGGTGGCTGCTGTACGGCTCAGGCTGGGGACTGTCCCCCTCTCCATGGCCCTGGGTGCAGCTCTCACCACATTGTCTCCGGAGCAGCCTTTTGAAGAGGAGAAGTGACCCCGGTGCCCGCGGCGCGTCCCGTGCCGCCGTGGCTGCGCCTGACGAGGCAAAGAGAAGAGAGGCCGCCAAGTAAATCACTGCTCCTCTCTGACTGAGCGAAAAAACACCTGTAGGGCTGGAAAACCCTCCCTTCCAGCGGGGAAGCAGTAACCTTCCCTTCCCCCTCCCCGGTGCTGGCGGTGAGCGCACCAGAGATCAAAAGAGAGCCCTATCTGGGAGGGAGCGGGGCCGCAGCAGCGCTGCTGTCAAACAGAGCAGAACGTTCTCCCGTCTCATATGGAAATGGGAGCGTGTCGGAGGCTGGGAGCGAGGGCTGTGCTGGCAGGTCACTGAGGAAGCTTTCTCCCCGGGAGACAATTCCCCAAGTAAAAGCCTCACTCCTGCGGCAGCGGCGTGTCTGGAGATGTGCTTCTCCCATCCCTCCAGACGCGGAATAGAACCGAACGAGGAAAAAAATCAGTGTTTGGGTTCCTGTTTGAACCGCTGAAAAATAAATCTGGTAGAAGCCTCAGCGTTTGGGAAGGTTTGAAACTAGGCTGGACTAAGTGCTGGAAAACATACGTAGGGAACAATATCTCACTCACCTCCTGGGGTGGCTGGTGACCTCATACGCTGCTCCTTCTGCCATTCTCTTTGCTATTGTAGATCGTTTGAAACAAAACAAAATCTTACTGCGTCTTTGGTTAATGAAGTAGACCAGAACTGGAACTGGACTACGGCTGAGCTATTCAGATCCAGCCTCTCTCAATTTGTTCCTTGTAGTTTTTTTGGGGGGAGGAGGGTGGGGGAGGATATCCATCTGTTGATTGGGTTGGCAGCTGTCCAATTAGCCTAAATGAAGAAACGATGTTGGGCCCTATTCTCCCTGACAACTTCTCTGCCCCCCAAACTCCTCAACTGCTGAATATGGTGGGAGTGGGCACGGGCTCTCCCTGCCCTGGCAAGGGACAGCTCAGACAGCAGAGACCTTCACGCTACTGACCAAGACCTGGCTTTGAACCTGGGGTGAGAGGCTGTTGAAGCAGGTTCCTTGAGCTTTTACAGTGGATCAGTGAAGGGAACCTTGGCCCATCATGGCTTTGTGATGTCTCCATGGCAGGAGAGGACACGGGCAGGCTGGGTGCTCCTTTGGGATCGCTTGGAGAGGATGAGCCTCCCAAAACCTTGGTGTAAAGGTTGTGCAGCAGTGACATGTCCTTCAGGCTGAGCAGAAAAGTGACATGTCCTTCAGGCTGAGCAGAAAACCCCTGTCCTCTGAGAGCCTGGACTCCCTGTGGCTGCTGCCATCAGGCCCCTGAGGTGGTGGTGGTGGTGGGTGGGAGAGGTGGGCTGCCCTCGGCTCGGGCGAGCAGGGATGGAGAGTGTGATGGCCCAGCAGATGCCTCCTTTGGCTGTGCCTTCCCGGTGACCATGCCAGAGTCCATTTCACACCTGGCAGCTGGAAGAGATTTGGCGAGATCAGTCTCCTGCATTACCCCCTGGTAATGACAAAAGCAGACAGCAAAGCTTCGGCAGAGCTGGAATTAGCACTGGCTGAGTCATGTGAAATCTTCATCTTTAAGTGTGGAAATCCAGCCTTTCCCTGGACTCCTCCTTCCTCTTAGTCTCCCCTCACCTCCCCCCCCTCTCTTTGCACCTGAAATCTGCTCTGCGGCTGATCGGATAGAGTTTATGGTAATTAAGTGTTATTAAATCCCCTCCCCCCTCCCTTTTTTCTCTAATGACACAGCTGTGGGGGGAAAAAAAAAAAGAAAAAAAATCGGTGTTTTTCTAAATCAGGTCTGTGGCGTGCAGCTTTGCTCCTGAGACCTTTGGTTAAGAGCATCAGAAGGGAACTGAAACAGTGGGGGCTCTTCTCCATTCCTGGGGGAGGTGGCAAGAGAGTGGAGAAGGATGTGGGAATGTGGTCCGACCTGGTGGGACAGGGATGTGGAAGGGAATTCTGCCCCCAGCCCCCTGCTCCTTCCACCAGTGTCTGGTGGGTTTGGGTACCAGAGGTGGGGAGAGGGAGGGAGCAGCCATGGTGTGGCCCTCACCCTGTGCAGCCACCTTCCTTTGGGGCTGGTTTCGAGGTGTGATGGGGACATTAGGGTGGGGACCCAGCTCCTCGCTGGCTTGAAGCAGGCTGTGAACTTGCCATCTGCACAGGAAGCTTGTGGTCCCTGAGATGCAGATACGTGTCGCTGGGGCAGAGATCCGTGGTTGCAGATAGAGCCACAAATTGCTCTGCTGCTGGAGAATCCTTGCTGAGACCTCGTGGTCCCCGAGCTGGAGGGGACTGAAGTCATTTCCCTTCTGCAGAGGAAGAGCGTCTTGGGAGCCACTGATGCAACCCCTTTTTTATTGAAACTTCATGCAGCTCAGGTTCTTCATTGTTATTATTAGCATATTGCTATGATTTGGGCTGGTGATTTCATTACATGTGAAGGTTGCATCCCCAAAATCGGAACCCCTATGTGCTTGGTTATGTGACAAGTTTGGTGACAGCTCTTGCCACTAATGGCCTCTCATTCTGGCCACGGCAGAGGTGAACCTGAGCTGCTGTGGCAGGGCCACGTTTTACTCTCTCTCTTGGGCTGTGTTTATTTGCCACTTGCCTTTTCTAAGAGCAAGCTTAGGGGCCTTTTTGTCACCTCGGAGAGATGCACAGCTCTTTTCCCAGCAAGGTGGCACACATTTTGGTCAGAGCCCTTGATGCTCTGCCTGTGCTCAGAGCCACCAGCTTGAGTCTGGAGCCAGTCTAGCAGCAGAGTCACCTGCCAGGAGCCCTGAGGGACTTTGTCTGCCAAACGAGGTGGATGGAGGAGCAGGAATCTGGGGCACACGGTAGGGTGGGCTTGTCATTCACCGAACGCAGCGGGGGGCTGGTGACTGCAACATGGGGGGGGTGCCCTTCCCGCTCCCCCCTTCCCCTTCTGCCTGCTCAGATTGTTACTGGGAGTTCCTCTCCCAGTAATGAAAAGGTTTTGCCTGTGGGGAAGATCCAAGATAAAATAGTGTTAGAGCAGCCACCACCAAGGCGGAGAAGGGTAATTACTCTTGAGTTGTGCTTACAGTAAACACAAAGCCTTGGTGGTTTTATCTCCCTGATTGTCAGACTGGGATCCTGACTGCCCAGGGAGCAGGCAGGGCCTTCCTCAAAGCAAAGGGTAATTACTCTTGAGTTGTGCTTACAGTAAACACAAAGCCTTGGTGGTTTTATCTCCCTGATTGTCAGACTGGGATCCCAACTGCAGGGCCTTCCTCAAAGCGCCTCCCTCCTGGGCTCTGCATCTTCCTTCTGGGAGGATGGAGACGTGGTGGGCATGTCAGGTGGCATTTTAATGGCCTCAGGGTGCTCAGCCATATGTACAGATCCAAACCAAACTGCTCTCGTGCCTTGCCTCCAAGAGCTGGGCAGTTGGACTGTCACCCCTGGCTGTTGTGTGGTTGTCAGCATCACCTACACCGGGTGTTTGGGTGTCTCTCACGTCATCGTGTCCTTGTGGGTGTTCAAAAGGTGGGGGAAAGAGGTGTGTGTCTGATCAGGTTAAAAAAAAACCAAAACAACTCATGTTCCATGACATGGAAGGGTGAGAACTCAGTGGACCCTTTCATCCTGCTTGTCCTCTTTGCCACCCTGGGAGTAAGACCCCGCTGGTAATTTAGTGTTATTATAATGCAAGGCTTGTTGCTTCGGGGGGGAAAGTTGTTCATGAGTTTTTTGGGTGCTGTGCCAATTGAAGCTGGAGACTTTTCTGTATATAGGTGTGCCCACGTTTGGAGGTTTAGGATGTTGTAGGGATGTCTTGAGCACATCTATTGGTACATCTCAGAGCACAAAGCTCCACTGGGCAGGTTGGTACATCGAGTTCGCTGGGTACGCTGCAGAGTTGTGCTAATATCCCTCTTACCCCCCCTTTCTCTTTCTTTTGCACTGTCCCTATACTTATGTGATTTCCCACTGTATTTCTCTCTGGAAAAAAGACCAAATCTTTCTGCTCTTCAGAAAACTCCCACACGCCTCTGCTTGAGGACTCGGTGACTCAGATGACCCCAGAGGAGCACTACAGACGCATGATGTCGGCGCTGAACGAACACGGCACGTTTGAGGAGCAGCAACAACAACGTCTCTACCAGCTGGCCAACAGCATGGCAGTGCCCAGCCATGGAGGTACGAGCTCATGTGAGGAGGATTTGTGGGCTGCAATGTTCCATGTTTATCATGCAATGAATACAGGTTGTGCTAAAGGGTGTCCTGCAGACCGTTCCTCTGTGGTGGCATCTACCCTGAGCCATCTCTGAATGCTAACACCTTCTGTAGCTGTCTGTCTGCTGGAGTAGATTAGCTGCACCATCACTCCTGTGTATTTTCCAGTGATAGTGAGGGGGGTCCTTTTTTTCTTTTGTTTGAAGAGGTCATTTCAATTTGAATAGAATCATAGAATTGTCTGGGTTGGAAGGGACCTTTAAGATCATCTAGTCAACCGTCAACCTAACTCTGATAAAAAACCATCACCAAACCATGTCGCTAAGCACTATGTCAACCCAGCTTTTGAATCCATCCCAGGGATGGTGCCTCAACCCCTTCCCTGGGCAGCCCATTCCAATGCTTAATAACTCTTTCAGTGTAAAAATTTTTCCTAATACCCAATCTGAACCTCCCCTGGTGCAATTTGAGGCCGTTTCCTCTTGTCCCATCGCCTGTGACTTGGGAGAGTATCCAGAATCTGTGAGATGTTGGCAGTGCCAGGTACTCCTGCTGTTTAGGGATGAGGTCTCTGAAACAGCACGGTGATGCTGCAGGATTTAGTTAAGCATTGATAGTGCTCCGTTTAGAAAGTTTGTGCCGTGGTGGCTACACACAGCCACAGCATAAATTGGTGTTAGAGAGCTTTCTCCTTAATGAGAATTAGATGGCTTACGATTTTACAGACAATTAAAATATGCAGATGAAGCTAAGTGGCAGTGAAGACAGCTTAGCAGGCAAATGCTGAAGTCCATGGGACAGGTTCATCCATGGAATCATCTCTTGAAAGCAGTGATGTTTACATCACCTGGGATCCATCTGGTCCTTCAGGAGCCAGAACCAGATCTGCTGTGGGAGAGTGAGGGAAAGAGTCACTGAAAGGGAGAGGGCTTCTTCCATACCCAGTGCAGGGTCACTTGGTGGGGGCTTCCTCAGAGCATTGCCCTAAGGACCCTGTAGGTCCCAACTTCCAGCACTAAGGTCCCCAGACCTCCCCAGCGTGATGTGGGCCCCTGAGGTTGAGCTGGGCACTAGGAAGGGATCCCCCAGCCCTTCTTTATTTAAAGCCTGTTGTGGCACTGCAGATTGTGCCTCTGTACCCACCTGTCTGCTCTTTCTAGGCTTTAGCAGCCCAGGAGTGTTTCTGCACCAATATCTGTGTTCAAGGGAAGATGCTGCTCGTTAGGAGGAGGCTGGTGCTTGTACAGTTACGTTAATGCAAAGAGGAGAAAATCCAAAATCTGTTCCTGAAGCAGCCTCCTCATTAAAAGGTAGAATTGTCCGATGCTGCTGCCTTGTCCTGGGGCTGGAGTGGTGTCCTGAGGGGATGAGGGTCCTTCGGTACCAGGATCTAATGGGTCCTGCAGGAATTGAGGGGTTGCTGGTTGGTTTTGCCGGGGTTGTGGAGGAAGCTGCTAAATCCTGCTGGGCTGCAGCGTCCTGTGCTGTGCCTAAAGGGGGCACCAGGCAGTTACGGCTCCCACCCTGGGAACCCTTTGGCAGAGAGCAGGAGCCACAAGCATCCCTCCAAGGGTTGAAGGCTCCCAACCCACAGGGATGCTTCACCTTCCCTGCTTTGGTCCAGGGTAAGAATTGTACCCCAGTCCTCTGCTGCAGGAGTGAGGGAGGGAACTCAGCGGTTTGGATCGGGTGAAGGCAGGGAGAAGGAATGTGAGGCTGTTCCAGCAGAGGGTTGAAGCATCACTGGAAAGCTGGGATAGGCAGAATCTGCAGCCCCTGTGCTTCTTGCTGCCCACGGCGGGGAGGGCTGACACCTGCCTGGGTGATGCAGGGAAGGAGCACCAGCAACATCAGTGAAGCATCCAGCGAGAGCTGGAGGAGAATCTCTGGTCTAGAGTGCAAATCCCCAGGGCTCCTTGTTAGGTTAATGAAGAGGCTGTCTTCTTTTCCACTCTGTTTGATTTGATTGGCTTCTCCGGGGGCAAGAAGGCGATTCCTTTCACTGTGGAGTAAGGATTTGCTTATCGGCAAAGGCCTGGCACCAGCCCGTGCAGAGGCAGAGCCTGGTGAACATGGCACGTGCTCCTGAGTGTGGTGTTGAGCTGTCCCAGGCACTCACAGCAACACAGAGCTCCTGTGAGCGTGATGCATAGGTGTGGGGGGGCTGGGGTTTGCACACACACGTGCGATGGACACAAGCACAGCGCACGAGAGGATGGTCTATAGTGTGTGTCACACACAAAAGGGTGACACATGCAGACACATGAATGCTGGATGTTCAGCCATGACACACGGGTCTGGGAAGAGCGTGTTGAGTACAAGGGAGTGTGTGCTCAGCACCAGGCGTGTTACGTGTGGCGGTGTCGTGACAGACAGTCACGATGGACCACTTCACCCGGGCACCCGATGGTGCCTGGACACGGGCACGTGTCCATCCCAGCAGAGCCTGTGCTGTGGGGCAGCTGGTATCGCCCCCATCTCCCCCCCGTTCAGTGAGCAAAGTAGCTCATTACATTAAAAGCCTGACGTATTTTTTTTTATGATTATGATTAAATTGTCTCCTCGGCATGTGTTAGAGGCCTGTGCTGTGGGGCAGCTGGTATCGCCCCCATCTCCCCCCCGTTCAGTGAGCAAAGTAGCTCATTACATTAAAAGCCTGACGTATTTTTTTTTATGATTATGATTAAATTGTCTCCTCGGCATGTGTTAGAGGAGGGGTCACGCTGAGGTTTTGGGGTGGGCAGGGGGGGGAGAAGAGGAGCCTGCACAGACAGACTCTCTGGTGTAACGTTGACAAGACAAAACTTGGTGTATTTTGGATGGTCTCCACACCACAGGGCTCTGGTTGGGCTATAAATTATTAGTGCCGGTACAAAGCGCAGTTTATCTGCCGGCTCACATGGAGGCACCAATAACATTAATAATTTAAAAAATGTTAATAATTTAGAAATCTTTTTTTTTTT